TTCATCATAATTCCCTAATAAGCATAATAATTCATAATTTTTTGGTTCTAATCACATTTCAATTAAACTTGGAGACATAGATTTTCTGTTACATTGCGCAGACCTCATTAGTTTTACACTCAAATCTGGTCATATTAATTTTCTGATTTGCATAATTAGTTTTCAGCTAAGTAATTTCGAATTATATTTAATGTGTCTCCAATACTCTCAGCACATGGGAGTTCTTTCTAAGCTTTCTTTGATTCTAACTATTGTTGAAATGTTTTTTTTTTTTTAAATATTACAGTTGAGTAATGATGAGGATGGTGGCAAGGCTCGTAGCGAAATCAAGACAAAATTAGCTGATGTGAAAGACAGCGCAGAGAAAGTGAAACTGATGGAAAAAGAAATGCAAAATCAAGAGATTTTATTGGAAGGTTACCATCAGGTGAGTACGTTTAAAATAAACTACAAAAGATAAACTTGAATTGTGCTTTTGTCTTTGATATAATTTTGATATAGTAGCTGACTTGTATATATGTATATTTTAAAATATTTTGTGATTTATTTAATAATTTTATAACAGGAAAACAAGAGACTCTACAAAGAAATACAAGAATTCAAAACTGAAAATAAAGAGGAAGAATCCAAATGGAAATCAGAAAACCAGAAATTCAAAACTGAAATAAGCAATCTCAGGTAAACATTGATCATACACTGGTATAAACCCATGATATTTTTTCTTCGTTGGCTGTCAATTTTTTTTTTTTATCACCAGTACCTGAAATAATATAACATCATGTGGTTGTGTATTTGTCACATGCATAATTGTTCACAAAACTGAGCAATTTATTGCTAGATCAAGTGAATTAGAAGTATATTTTTGCTGTATCTTAAAGCGAGAGGGTCGTCATCTGTGCATGCGTGGGAATTGAGTCCCAAGCGACGATAACAAACAACACACGCTAAAAACACAAAGGCTCATGGTAGACACTTGTTTGTAAACAATGACACGCTATGGCCATCTGACGCATGTGCAGGTGATGACTTCCCCACTTTAGTTATTCCCTTCATCTTATAAAATTGATAAATTTATCAGATTTCTCACCAATAAGTCATAGACAATTTTCTTACAGATTTCTTACAAATAAGTACCGTAAAAGCTGCATCCCTAATAGAAGTCACATCTATTCTTTTTGTACAACTGAAAACGAAAATTTCACAATTAGTAGTAGTAGAAATTGATCAGAGATATCAACTATGTGTACTCAATATAATTTCAATATGAAATTTTCTCACTTAATATTTAGGGAACAAATTGAAGAAAAGGAGAGACAGTTAAAGAATAAAGGCATCATCACTGGTGTACAGAAAGAGATAGCTGCAGGTACCGGTACAGCAGTCATGGGGGCTGGTAAAATAGCACACCTACAAGCTGAAGTACAAGAAGCACAGGTATGTATGGTAGTTTACTTTTCAACCATTCTTGATATAAGTAAAACTTGTATATTTGTACGATGACTAAATGTTTATTGTGTTGCCTAGGTGACAGAAATTGAACTCAAGCAGAGGATGAAGGCACTGGAAGGTTCCAAGTCTGAGTTGGAGAGATATATCGATGTTTTAGTGAAAGAAAAGAAAGATGCAGAGCAGAGATTAGTGTCAGCAATGGAAAGAAAAGACACTGAAATTCAAGTATGTTTTAATTGACATTTAGTTACAATTCAGTTGATCACAGGTTTGAATAATAATTACATACCAGTAATATACTCACTGCTGCTGTATAGTTGTATTGTTGGTCTATTTTAACACCTTTTCAGACATTCTTGTCTCGAAATAGGGGATATATATCGATCTCAAAAGTGTTTTATTAAGTCTTGTCCATACACACATTTGTATGTCTGTTTGACGGCATCCCTAGAATAAAAAATTTAACGCATATCAATTAACATTTTATGCATGTAAAGTTGTTTTTGGATTTGATCAACTTGTACTGATTAGTGCCCATTATTTTTCACCGCTTCACCAACCCCAAAAAGTTTGGCCTATCAACTAAACTAATGAGTGGATCAAGGCTTAACAGCATTTAATTTCTATATTGCATAATAGCTAATTTTTAAAATAAACTTCGTCATTTTGTCACATAGGCAGTGCAAAATCAACATGAAAAAGACACTGAAGCACTGCATAAAAAACTGAAATGGTACGCAGAGAACCAGGATTTGTTGGACAAAGACGCACAGGCCCTGAAAGATAAAGATGATGATATCAAACGATTGAAAGAACAGATTGAAGAAATTCAACAACAGAAAGAGGTGAAGTTATCTGTTTGGTTGAATGATATTACATACATTTGAATTTAATATCATAATCTTGATTGTGATTGGTTCATCATTGTGTATAGATTTTGATTTGATTTGATTAAATAATAATATGATGGAATATGTTGTATATCAACTTAAATAATTTTATCAACTTCAGGAAAAAAAGAAACTGAATGAAAATCAGAGAAGAGCCAAGGAAAGAGCAGCGGATGCAAAAAAAATACAAGATTTGGAAAGACAGGTAAACTATGTTAAGTTATTGTTATTACGAATTTGTCATGGCAGTTCATGCTGCCACTGTACTGTCCAAGTGCATACATATATTCATAATAAACTTAAGACTGAATCAAATGACTTTGAAAAAGAATTTGAAAAAAGAGGTGGTATTCACATATCTGATAACCCAGTACGTGTCCCTTAGTTGTATCTATAATAAGGAGATTGAAAACGTCTGATACAAATTCAAACCCCTTCTTTTGCATGTTTTTCCCCAGTGGACAGTTTCTTTTGTTTTCAGTGTTAGATGTTTGTAGAATTATGTAATGCAACATTTCAGGAAAGATACCATGCATAGGTGCCAAATAGTTTAGCCTTAGTGGCTTCCAACTTGTTCAACCACTTCGCAAATAGCGCAGAATAAAAAAATCACAAAATTTGTCAGATTGTATAGAAATTCGAAAAATACAAGCAATACGTTTTCCCATGTTTAATCTACATCTGTGGACTCGAAGACATGTTTTCAATTTTTGTAGATTAATGTATGGTCTGAAATTACTCTGAGCCATGGGTGGCAAAATTATTGTACCCGTATGTTAATGGAAGCACAGGACTTTTGGAACATCGTATATTTATGTGTTTTTCTTTCAGTGAAGCCAAAATTATAAATAAAAATATTATTATATGATCTTTAGGTTAAAGAGATGGAGAATATTTTAAGACGTAGAAATCCCAACTCCTTACCAGCGATGATCTTTGCGGCTGCTACAGCACCCTCAGATGTTACGCATACAACCAGTAAGACAAAAGCCACAGTTTTCCTTGAAGAAAGAATCCAAAAGTTAGAAAAAGAAGCTGATGAGAGGGAGCAAGAAGCCAAGAGAAGTCTGAGAACCATGGAACAAAAATATAATGCCATGAAGGTCTGTTTTCATCTCTCTGAATTCAAATTACTGGCTAATATTACAACTCATGTTGCAAAAGACAATAAATACACTTGACACAACACCTTGCAATATCAATATCAATGGGTATGTAATTTATATGGTTCTGTACTGTAATTATTAATACGGAAAAATGATCTAAAAAATGCTGACCCTCTGAAAGTTATAACCAACTCTTTCACACTCTTCATCTAAAAACAACATTTGTGTTGTTTTTTTATATATATAAACTTTTCAAATTTTAGAATTTATAATGGCGATAAGTTTGTTTTTGTGAAAATCGGTCAACACCAAAAATAGAGAATTGCTATTTAATAATTTAATAAAGTCTCTGGTGACTCCTGTCTCATTTGCATGTTTACTGTATACCAATGTAATAGTTGAATTTCACTCAAAGTATAAAATTAACATCTAAACAAAAAAGTTCTACATCTTGAGAATAGTGAACTGAATGTGTCTTAATGTAATTGATGTTTATTTCAGTTGAAGTATGAAGAACGCATCAGTTCACTGGAGAAAGAACTGAATAGTTTCAAAAGACCAGATCACAGTTCAGAGCATCCACACTCACACATGGTTGCGGTTGAGAAAGAACTGAAGAGTGTTAGAGAAAGGTATCAAAGGGAAGTGGACGACCTGAAAGAAAAACTAGATTTCTTACAGAGGAATAGCAAGACGAAGATTACAGGTAAAATTAAAATGGTGGCTGGGTTTGTAACAATTCAGTGCTAAGGATGCATATAACGTTGCAACAGTTTTCTTAGAACATTCAGTTCAAGGTCAAAACTGAAATTGTGAATGAAGTATTTTCTTATTTGAAGGACACCAAAAGCCATAAAATAAAATACTTTATTTTAATGGAAATTGCCAAAGAAAATACCTAGTTAAAGCTTGGTATATCTCAGTTTTGTTCTCATTGGTCTGCGTAACAGTCAGTCGCCATCTTTGTTTACATCGCATGCATGTGTGGTGTGGTGACCACCACCTTTTAAATTCAAAATTATGGTGATTGAAATATTTAAGTAACAATCAGGACTTCATTTCCAATACATACAAATGTAGAACCCTTAATATTATCAGTTATCTTTCACAAGCGAATTAAGAGACACATTTTTATTTCAAGGTCACCTATGTTATTATGTTTCAGGTGACAGTCAACCACAGGAGAAGATCATAGAATCCTTACAAGATGATGTCAGAATTAGAGACGAAGAGTTATTAAAACTGAGATTAAAATGTCAACAGTTAGAAGTGGATTATATGAATGCAGGTAATGATGTCATATCTCAGCAAATGCATTCTGAGCAGCCACAATGTTTGTGTTTTTTAAGATATTAATGAGCCTGTGAAATGCTGTGAAAAATTCTCTAGGTTTGATACAAGTTGGGAAGCTAGTTAAATTTATTAAAAATATTTGATGAGTACTCCTTACCTCTGGCTTGTTGGTATAGTATTTAACAGCTGTAGTATTAAAAAAATGTGGTTTATAATTCCATTGTTTTATATAGATTGTTGAGCATAAGATATATCATACTATTTGCTTGTAAAAATTAAGATTTCTCGCTTCTCAATGTCGTGAACTGTCAACTGATACAAAATTATTTATAAATTATTTTACTCTGTACTCCAGGCATATCCAACTTAGGAGAAACAAAGCACTATACACCTAGAAACTTTGCTGGGAAACATATATCAGATGTAATGGATGAGAATGCAAGGCTTAGACAGCAGGTAAGTGTGTCTTCCTCTCTGTTAGTTTCAGTGTGCATTACGTCTATATTGTATCATACTGTTAATCATAATATCATTGTTTGGTGTGCTCAATAAAAAAAATTATCTGCATTATTTTGCCAAATGATTTTGCTGCAAATACGTATTGTTTTTTTTTTTAGTATTTTACATATTTGTATATCTCAAATCTGTAACGAATATATAAGTTACTGATTTTTTTAGTTTGCAGAAGAGGTCTTGTATGTAGTGAAACCTCTGAAATCAAACACCAGCTGAGATAACTGTTGTTTTGAGTTTATTAAATGTGACGTTTATCTACTGTAGGTTGAAAGGACGTCATTTGAAATTGATCAGCAAAGAGTCCATGTACAAAAGTCGATAGCGGAGGCAGAAAGTGCAGTTAGAAAATCCAAAGAAGAAGCAGAAGATAAGGTTTGTATAATCCAACGAATATTTGGTGTGTCTGCAAAATATTTATAAAAATAAGTTCTAAATTGGAACATTTGTAAGTTTGTTGTTCAAGCTGCATTCGTGTCAGATTACTTCAGTGATCATTTGAAAGTATTCTCATGATGCATAGTTACCGACTTGTATATGGGATATACAAGTCCAGTAAATCTTTTCAGAATTTCACAGTTCTTTAAATTAAACATTCAAGTCATGGTGTGATAGACAGATATTTGAAAAAGTGATTTAGCCCTCACTACTAACTATGATAAACAAAATGGCAGATTTGATAACTTGCTCAGACATGAAATAAACATGGCACATGGTTTATTTACTGGTAACAGGGAGCACAGTGGGCTTTCTGTAAATCAGGTCGTGATTACATATGCCTAGTGTGTCAGATGTTTGAAAAGATAAGATAAAAATAGCATAAATGGTTAACTTTTTCTCATTCTTTAGATATCTCTGATAAGGTTAAACCATGAAGCTGAACTGCAAAGAATTATATTGGAGCATTCTTCAAAGCTGGGCGATAGTAATGTATCACGACTTACATGTCAGCTTAATGCACAAGAGGTGAGTGATATATCCATCATGTTCTAATGAACTTAATATCTAATGAAAATCATTCCCCACTAAAATTCTATGTATCAGTTCCTTACAATAAATGACTTTTTGCTTTTGATAGCAATATCACCTTTAGCCATCTTGTCTCAATGCTGTGTGTTTAAGACTACAACTTAGTGACCTACTTAAATGATTAACCACTTAATTGCATTCTTGGGAGAAACCATGACCTTTTTAGCTCCGCTGTCGACTTTGTCGAGCGGAGCTTATCATATGAGTGATTGTCGTCCGTCGTCGTCGTCCGTCGTCGTCCGTGTCAATGTTTTACTTTTTCGACTTCTTCTTGAAAACTACAAGCCTGAATGCTTTGATACTTGGTGTATATGTACCTTGGGTAGACCTCTCTCAGATTTGTTCATTTCATGATGATATCTTCAATTCTCTAATTTTGGTGAATATTTTTGTCATTTTAGTAAAAAGTGATATTTTCGACTTCTTGTTGAAAACCGCAAGTGCAATTGCTT